AAGCAAATCAGGATGAACTATGTTAAATGCACTGGAGAAATCAAAGAACATGATAAACATAAACATAACAGAACAAGAACATAAAAGCCCTGTCACACTATTATGTTTTAGAGAACTTATGTAGATGTATGCAAATTGTGTATAACACACAGTCATACACTTAAGATGGAAAAAAAAAATCAGCTGGGAGCTTTTTTTGGGGGTTGTATATATAATGCATTGCTAATGAGTTGGATGAATATTCAACCTTATCTAACTTATTCATAAGTTGTCCTTAGCTTATACATGCATAACTTATATGTGTATGACAGCATAATTTGACTTATTCAGAGCTTATGATCAATGTTATTTGAACGTGTTTATTAATTACAACTTGCACATTCGCCATTGTTTTGGGTTTTATAAGGTCCAAATGATGATCAACTAATCATCTTGCTGGATCCTTTGAGTGCACAGGCCACAACTGAGATGAAGGATTCTGCTGCAGTTTTTTTTTTTAATCACAGCTTTTTTTTATTTTGTCTGAGGCGTGTTGATCAATGTAAAACTGGGCTGACTGACTGGGGGTGAAGAGAACTGTTATTTTATATCCAGTGTCATGTGATTGTTGCAATATGCTCCAACATGCTATGCACAAGTTTGGCATACCATTAATTAATATCATTAAGCTCTGCACAAGTCAAGGTGCTCATAGGTTAGAAATAAGTTATACGTACTCGACTTGCCCAGCTGGTTTCCAGCAGTGGTGGCCTGTGCATTTTACACCTACGCCTTCAGTGGTGTCCTGCCTGAATGTATCCACCTCTTAATACAATTTTTATGATTCTACGGCTATAGAAACCATCAATTGTATTCAGAAACGTGGCGTAATAGGGTGCAGCATCACTGGCCGGTATTTCATAGTGTGAGAATGAATACCATTACTAAAGCAAGAAACCCAGTAAACACAGTTCAGCAAGTTTCATTTTACCAAAGCCACAGCTGTGTGCCAAATACACATTTATTAAAAGCATCAAAATTAACCTAATAAAATGGCAAGAACATAAAAATATGAATACAATTAATTTTACTCACCAAAAGTCTGGATTATTTGTACACAAAATCCATCCTTCTTTCTTTCCACAGGAAGAGTTCAACTACTCTGTCATATAGGTTATTTGTACGTTTCAATTCAAACAATAAGGCATTTTTCCACTGCCATAGAATCGGATGCCAAAAGTCAAGTCTGCTTCATTGCCATTTATTGTAAGCTACATGTGCCAGCACTGTTGATTCTGAAGGACTCGAGGCAGATTTCTAAGACACTAGCAACACATGATAGCATAAATATGACTGGATAAAATTCCTATATAAACATATGCCACTGGAAGCTGTGCAATCAAGAAAAAATGCTATGGAAGGAAGAAAACAGACAATTCAGAATAACTTAATACATATTAATTAACAGTAAAAAATGTATTAAAATGTAAGTTTCTGATTGTGTTCAGGCCAGCTGAGAAGGCCTTGCTGGCCCTGATAGCCCACCACTGTTTTCTGACATATGTCCACTTAAGAGTAGCTTACATGTAATTATAAACTTGTGCATAACTTACCTGTTGCATACCTGTAACTTAAACCTAACTTATGAGCGAGAGACATCCTCAACTGTTGAAATTATTGTTCAGGAACAAATGTTTTGGTTTGCTGTTGTATAGCAGCATGCTGGTAACTTATTCAAAACTTACACCTAAATTATAGGACTTACACCAGCATATTTCTCTTTTTTCCCCATTTATTGACATACGTCATACACAGATGTTGCATGTCACTGTGTGACAGGGCTTTCAAAGATGTCAACAGATAGATTGAAATAATTTGCTTCTTACATTTTTTAAATTTTATTGATGGCGAGAGCAATAAAAAAGGTCTACAAACATCTTCACCAAATGAGCTTATTTTCATTTATATATCTGGAAGCCCCTTAAAATTATTAACATTTTGATATATGTAGGAGTTGTGGTTGTACTCTTGTGTCTAGCCCCATCTGGTGTCATGCTTATGTTTTGCTTTCTCCCATCCTCTGTTTCTGTCATTATAGACTTTGTGTTTTCCTAGTGTCTAGCTCCATCTGGTGTTGTGTCTCTGTCCTGCTCCTTGCATCTGATTTGATCTATTTTCCATACCTGTGTATGCTCACAGGTGTTGTGTTATCCTCATCAACATTCGTATTTAAGCCTGTGTGTTTCTCTTACCCCTCATCCTAGCATTGTTTTCTGTGCACTGGTGATGACCTGTCTGTTACTGTGAGTACCTACTGATCATTCCATGTTTATTTTGCTGCTCTGTCAGCTCTTTTGTTTTGTTAATAAATTCTTTATTTTATATACAGTATTTATCCTGAGTCTTTGACTGCTTGCCTGCACCACTGGGTTCACCAGCGCCAGCTTGTTGTGGCAATGTATAGAACAGTTTGAGATACATGTGCATATCAATTTTTTTTAAAGGCTTTAGTTAAGCAAATATTTGGGCAATCGGCATTGATGTTCCTAGAAAGATATGTTTTTTTCTTCAATAATCTTAAAAGCTTGGATCTGACTGAATGAGGCTGAAATATTTTAACATAATTGCTGTTCCCACAATGCCCCAGAATGCATATATTGTACTGTAGAAGTGTTCAAGGTGAAAAGTTCAAACTCAACAGTATATACGTCCCGTCAGAAGATAATTTTTTGTGTGAGAAAGATTTCTTTCAACAATCAGGTCTGACTGTTACAACCCATACACAACCTCTGCCAAAAGTGTCAAACCCTTATTCACAAACATGCACTAACACACTCTGGTATTTGTATTTTTCCCCCCTCTGGTAGACAAAGCCTTGATTTAAACAACAGAAAATTGACAGCATGGACTCTTGTGTGAAGTCTTGAATACGGTAGATCAAACTTGAGGACATTGTGAGAACACAACCACCTTCCCACACTATGACTTGTATACCTGCATTCTTTAAACTCACCACGTCCCACTGCTTTAAAACATACCTGAATTTACATTTACATATCTTAATGGATGCAAGTCTTAAATCTCTGAACAGTATTCACCTGTTGACAGAAACAAATGCCTACAGGGTATGTGTACAATTTTTAAACCATTTCTAACATTTATGAATTGTACATACATCTACAATATAAATACTTTTGGGACCAGGTCAACAGTCTTGTTGAAGGGATGTGGCTCTAATGCTGTAAAAATACACATTTGTTAGACACAGCAAGGATCAATCAGGAATCCAACTCTAAAGGCATTTACCAGGTTTTATTAAAAAAAAAGTTCTCAGTATCCAAGTAGACTGGATACTACGTACATGTAGAACAGTTTTAATCTTAGTTGACCTTAATTTAACAAGAATATATCAACACTCTTGTACAAGGGCTGAGCTAATTACCATGAACTCATTTCCAAAGTCAAATATAGTAATTTTCTTAATTAAAAAAAAAAACAAAGTATAGCTGACTTGAATTTCTGTAAGTTTTTCACAGGAATGTCTGTGTACTTTTTCTGATCCACCCTAATTCTTCTGGCTTTGAATATTAAAAAGCCTCAAAAATGAGCATCTGGCATGCAGGTTAGGCAAATATGGAAAGAATCTGAGGTTTTCTCAAATCGGTTTGAAAGATGAGTGAGCTAAAAAATGGTGACGTAGAGATGAAATGAGGGCTGAACAATTTATTGCACTGCTAAATTGTTATATTTATTACACCAACTTTGCATTTTCCCCATTTTTATTTTTATTTTTATGAAATCTTTCTTCTTTCTGAAACACAGCCATTCACTGCAGTCTGGAAGCTTCAGCACATTTTAGAAACATTTTAATGCCAGTTTCTGATGCATTCTGTTATTAGTGCTGTTTGCAAATACAGAAACACTCTCAAAGCTCTTGATAGTGAAGATTAGGACGCCTCCAATAAGTTCTGATGACTTTCATTCTTTACTTAATTCAATAAATTAGAAAATAATAAAATAATGCTTTTGATATGGGAAAAAATGCTTTGTATAAAAGCATCATTGCATATGTTTTACATGCATTATCTTATTGACCTTGTGATCCAGAGATCCAAAAATGCAGATAGCTAAATTAGCTCTTTGGGATATTGCCCTCTAGTCTTTAAATTAGTTTTTTAACCGCTGACACTCAAACGAAGCAGCAACAACCACATACTTTTTTAGAAGTAACTAAAAGGTTTTCATTCTTTCTTATTCAACTGATATAAGCTAAATCATGCAAAACAAAACTGCAGCTCTTTTAGTTCATCTAGCAGCCGCAAACCCACCCAGCTCTCAGTGCTTTGAAAATAAACTTTTTTTAAATATTTTTTTTATATTTAACCTATTTAGGTAGTCTCGTTGAGTCATGAGGACTCATTGTCAAGAAAGACCTGTTTTGGTCAACTACGTAAGCACCTGGGGGGCATTAGGCGTCTTACTCAAGTACACCACATGTGGGCATGGCGGGGAGTTGAACCTGCGACTTTCTAGACCCAAGTCGACTGCTCTGTCATCTAACTGTGCCAAGTAGATGGGAATTGTAAGTAAGTTCTTCACAATATACTGTATCTTAGCTTTAGTTATGATTTAAGAAAATACTTTGTAGTTAATTCTAAGTCCCCAAATATCAAAGTGTGCCTATTTAAGTTGTTTTTACTAAATTTTAAGGAAGTAAAAACTACAAAATATTACTACCTTTCTTTAGACCCATGTAAATACAGAGACCACTACAGCAAAGTATTTTGAGCAGATGTAATATGCTGCTAAAGTCTTTGCCCTTTACTGATCCATACTGTTAGCAGTGGAAACGTGTAGCCATCAGTTTAATAAACTTCAGAGTCAGAGGGGAGAAAAAACATGATCTGCTTAACTGCATGTCATAGCCACCATGTGACGACAAGGTAGAGATTATAAACGATTTAGACTCAGAAGCAGCAGAGCAAGTCTGAATGTCACCCAGTCTGTGCTTATGAACAAGATTGTACTGCACATCTTCCTCTGAAGGCGTTTAAAAACGTCTTCCTTCTGCGTCCACACACTGCAGCTGATGGTGATGAAGATGCAGCAGTCTCATAGGGCCTTTTCTTTTCAGCTTCTGGTTCCATGTACAGGATTAATTCTCTGACAAGTAATTGAAAAAAAGAGAAGTGACACAAAAATTTACAATGCGTTATAAAATGGAAGTCTTTTTAAAGTCTACAGTGATTTCCATGTTGAAGCATCAATCTCACTTCAGGGCAAGACTAACAAAAATGTGCTGTTGATACATCTTAGAATGCTTTATTTGTATTATTTTGCTTTCCCATGTAAGTAAACATGAAAACAGTTAATCATGCTTGGACACGTTTCCTTTTATTCAGTCAGATCCCTTTGTTGCACACGGGACATGTCATCCTCTGCTGTCCTCTAGTTTGTGTTACAATACAATACAATATATACAAAGTTAACTTGCACACGTTTACAGTTTATATCATCATTTTACCACATCTCCCAAGTGTTGTGTATGTTGGATTGAATTTCGGAAACTGTCAGAGCCTAATATAGGTCGGACACACCTTCTGCCTGCTGACACTTTATATTCTGGTCATCTGAAACAACAATATTCTACAAGAAGTCCCATCGAGGTTCCTACATTGTTTGAGTCAAGCTGTTTGCCAAAACGCACATCTGCAAGGAAACCCTATAGTAAATTTTGTTCACTTTGAAAGGAGCTCTTGGGTTTGTAAAAATAAATAAGCCAATAACAAGTGTCACAGCATTATAGGTATTTTATAGGTTTAATCCATAACTTGAAATAGTTTAAGACAATCATAAAATGTTGCTTTTCTGTTCAGTTTGGGGCAGCCTGCTTACCTCCTCCTTTTTGCCTCTAAATCATATTTGACTAAAACTCGTGTAAAATGAGGATACTGAAAGGTAAATGTCAAAAAACATGAAGGAGATAAAATTGTGCTGTGACCGAGATAACATCAGGAGGTAAGAATGCGACATAAACATATGCTCACCTTCTTTACGCAAAAAACACTTCCAAAGGCAGAAGCAGAGAGACATAACCAGCAGCGCTGCGACGGTGGTGACTGAGATCAGGATGGTGAGAGCTGTGCCGACTAGAAGGAAAGAAGATGTTACAATCAGCAGATTTACCGTTTGCCATCAGCCATATAATTTCCTAATGTAGTTAAGGTGCTGATATTTGTGGGTCAAGAATAAACTTACAGTGTTGCAGTCTGATTCATCTTTGCACAGTAATATATGAAAAACTAAGTTGCATACAAAACTAAAGGCATGACAACAGTGCATATATCCAGTATGCATACCAGTACCAACTTGTCTGAATCTAAAGTAAAAATAGATTTTATATTTTAGCAAAAAAAACAAAAACTTTTGACTGTCTGATTAAGGATGAATGTCAGTTCCTCACGCTCCATGACCATAAAAATGTTTTAACTGTGTGAGTCTGAAATTTAGAAAGCTTGCAATCTTATAATTTAGTTTGAATGCATTTATCCGTCAGGTTATAGCCTGGACTTAAATATTAAACACAATTTGAAGCATATCCAGATTAACGTATAAAAACTCACTTTTTGTGTTCATGGAAACAGCAATGGCAGATTCAAGCCCCTTGTGGTGCACCAAACATTTGACAGAGACATCTTTCAGCAGCCCTGATCGGACAGTGAGTGTACTGATGACCAGAGTCGTCCCATCCTCCTGGGGAAGCTGTGTGGTCGCAGGGGCACCCATGGTGCGGTTGTCCGTCTCCACGTTCCACACAATCTCAGCCGGGGGGCGAGACACCGAAGTGCAGTTGGCTTCAATTACACCTGGAGAGATGGTCCTGTAGCTCACCTGAGGTTTTGGCAAAACTGGAAAACAATATCAAGAAAGGTTAGAGTGTTATCACAACCCAACAATAACTTAATTAAGCTCTGATTGTTGGTGTATGACTTGTGGATGATACCTGGGATAAAACACTGAATTCCTCAGCTTAGTGAACATATGTGAGGTCTTGCTTTCATAAGATCCATGAGTAAATCTCTGACTGTTTTCAATTCCCTGTTCTCGGGGATGGGTGAGGAATGTGATGCATTGGAATCAAGAGGATTTTTCTTGGCAAGAGCACATTAAGCCACAGAAATCTGGGCCTCACTGTTTCAAAATCTTTGCAGACTTCTCACTGATAAAGTGCACCCACCCAGTCTAAAACCTTGATGAGGAGCAAGTCAGAAAACGCCAGGAAGAACAATTCACATCAAGTTGTAATAATATCTTACAGATAGGTGAAAGGCTGACAGGGTAAAAGTTTATAAAGTAGTGTTCACATCAACTCCATCTGGTTTTATGACGCATTTTGAAAACATCTATAAAAATGTCCTCTACATCGGCTACCTGTCGAATTTAGAATTCCATCTTCCCTTTTTTTGGGTCGCAGGGGTCACTGGTGCCCATGTCCAGCCATCACTCCGCGAGAGGTGGGGTACACCTTGGACAGGCCTCCAGTCCATCACAGGGACACATAGATACAAACAAGACAAACAACCATTCACTCTCTAACTCACACCTAGAGACAGTTTAGAGTCACCAATGAGCCTAACATGCATGTTTTTGGTCTGCGGGAGGAAACCAGAGTACCCGGAGAAAACCCATGCATGCACAGAGAGAACATGCAAACTCCACCCAGAAAGACCCCAGACTGGGATTTGAACCAGGGTAACCTGCTCGCTGAGAGGCAGCAACTCTTTCAGCTGCGTCACCGTGCTGCCCGAGCTCAGAATTAATTTTAAAATTTTAGTCTTTTAGAGCTTTTAAATGGACAGGCCCCATAGTAGATCACTGAAATATTGATTCTTTATTCTTCAGGCAACACATTTCGGTCTTCAGCGCTGAAACTCTAAAAAGTCCCTAAGACCCGGTTTAAAACTCGGGCTGACTATCCTTTCAGGCCGTAGCCCCAAGGCTGTGGAATGCCCTGCCCATATCTCTTTGTGTGGCCATCTCTGTTGATTACTTTATAATGCAGCTTAAGAAATTTTTATTCAGAAAAACTTTTAGTTAAATGTTTTACCTACTGTTTTTACGAGCTGTTCTTACTGTTTTTATCAGTTGTTCTTACTTTTTTTAACCAGTTGTTCTTACTGTTCTTTTATCAGCTGTTCGTACTGTTTGCATAAGCTGTTCTTACTTTTTTAACTAGTTGTTCTTACT